TATTATTTGTGTCTTAGCAGGCTGTTTCACTGCTGGGTCTATGGGGTCTCAGTATTTTTCCTCTTTAATTTAAATGGGAGCATTTTGGGGGATGGGTGTTATATTTTTCGACATGCTTTTTAAAGTAAGGCAATTTCTAAAAAATATCCAAGAAAACAGTGGAAAAAAGTAGGAAGACTAGAAAACAGTTTAGGAAAGCACAATCTGGGTTGAAGACATTAAAGTTCCTAGAGGAAATTGGATTAAATATAGTGTTTATAATCTAAAGTGGGAACTGCTTGAGGTCCTTAGCCAGTAGGAATAGTTTTATGAGCCAGTGGACTGCTAGCTATGGTCCATGTCATTTAGGAGAAAAGAAAAAGCATGGCCAGAACCCCAAATAATGTTTACGGTGGCTCCACTTCAAGGACTCAGCCACTTTAGCCATATTTGAGGAACGCCTGCCCATTTTCCTGAGTCTCTAGGCTCCTTGTCAAGTCTGTGTGTTTCTCAACATCCTCCCAATCAACCTTTTCCTCTCTATGTCTGAAACAGTTTCTACCTCAGATAAAGATGACTCTGAAGGAACCCACAGAACAAGAGTGGCCTTTACTCCTAAATGTATTTTATTTTTCTGTCTGGTACACCCAGTGCTCAGAAATGCTAATATATTGCCATGCTACTCAGAAAGAATTAATTTAGGGAAGATGGCGGTATGTCCTTCCACAAGGCTAAATCAACCGGTAAGGAGAAACAGATGACTTCTTGTTCTCACCCTGGTCCTCATTTTAGGACCATAAATTTTCATGAGAAGATGTTTCAACACCAAAACCAGATGAATTAATTCTCTTAAAAAAAAAAAAAAAAAAAGAAGAAGATGAAGGAAAGAATTCAAGGAGCACAATGGTTAGCTATTATTCTTCTTCTACTTAATAAATGCATATCTTCAGGCATATCACAAACCATGAATGATATCAGCTTATCATTTGAATTTATGTAGTTAGACATTTACCACCATACACACTTATGTGATGTGTATGCTTGCTCAAGGATATCAGGCTTTGGCCCCCACACTTACACTCCACAAGCAAGGTTTTGGGTTAATCTTCACACCGTCAGATCTCATTAAATTCGAGATGCTCCCTGTGTTTCTAAAACACATACTTCAGATATTACAAGACTCAAAACAAAATTCCTTAGAACAAAACAGAAAACTAGGGATCAGCAGATGGTGTAATGGTTATGGTACTGGACTCCCACAAAAATCAATGGTGGGTCAAGTCCCAGACCTGCCAACTTAAAACTCACACCAAGCATATGTGTGTGCACACTTAAGATCCTGAGAGGAGAATGGAGGAGAAACGATTGTGGCATAGCCATCACCCCTCGTGGTGACTTCTTGTTTTCTGGCTTTCTGTCTCTCTGCCTCTCTCTGTCTCTCTGGCAAGCACACACATCCCATAGCAAAAATCTCTCAAAAAAAAAAAAAAAAAGAAAAGAAAACTAAACTTGTTAGAAATCTCAATATTAATTGAAACATGACAAAATAATTACTCTTACATAAAGTGAACCTATGCAACCCCAGTCCTAATTCCTACTAGTCAAAAATAGGAATAATCTTGGGACCAGCAGATGGTGTAACAGTTACATTGTTGGACTCCCACGCAGTCAACCACAGTTTGAGTCCCAGACCCGGCGACTGGCTAACACACCTACAATTCTGACACCAGAAAGTTAAAACTCAATTGTGCAAGGATCTGTATGCCTACTATGGTACTCTATCTTACCTAAAAGAAAATGAAATTGGTGTTCATCTCATCAACCCGTCTTTGATTCTGATGCCAAACAATTATATCTTTTTTTTTTTTTGAAGAGGTTTTTTCTATAGGGCCCGTGTGCTTGCCAGGCAGACATAGAGAGACAGAGAGACAGAAAGTGAGAAAGGGGATGGCCACGCCATAATCCCTTCTCCTCCATTCTCCTCTCAGGATCTTGGGCACACACGCATATGCACCCAGCTTGAGTTTAAGCCACCGGGTCCGGGACTTGAACCGCGGTCAACTGCATGGGAGTCCAGTGACATAGCCATTACGCTAACTGCTGGTCCCGCCAAACAATTACATCTTTAAAATACAATTTGTTGTTGTTGTTGTTAGTGAGAAATCACACCCCCCAGGGGGGGATGGCCATGCTGCAATCCCTTCTCCTCCATTCTCCTCTCAGGATCTTGGGCACACACGCATATGCACCCAGCTTGAGTTTAAGCCACCGGGTCCGGGACTTGAACCGCGGTCAACTGCATGGGAGTCCAGTGACATAGCCATTACACTAACTGCTGGTCTCTAGTGAGAAAAAGATACTCTCTTCATCAAATGGAGTTGAGAAAACTGAATCCTTCTCTCTCACCACTAACAAAAATTAACTCAAAATGGATTGAGGATCTAAACATAAAACCTTGAACTATAAAGTTCTGGTGGAAAACACAGGAAAACTCTTGAAGACCTTGGAGTAGGCAGAGACCTCTTAAAGAAGACCTCTCTAGCACAGGCAAAAGCCCCCCAAATAGACAAATGGGACTATATTAGGCTGAAAAGCTTCTGCACAACAAAGGAAACAGTAAGTAGAGTGAGAAGACCACCCTCAGAGTGGGAGGGTATATTTGCAAACTGTACCTCAAATAAGAGACTGATAACCAGAATATACAGGTAACTCAAGCAGCTTAACCACACAAAAATAATCAATCCAATTGGGATTGGGAAAAGGCGCTGAACAGACATGAATGACTCACCAGCGTGTGAAAAAGCAGGAAAAACATTTGCACATCCATGTTTACTGCAGCATTATTTACAATCACTAGGACATGGAATTAACCCAAATGTCCAAAAATAGATAACTGGATTGAAAAAAATGTGGCATACATACTCTGTGGAATACCACTCGGTCATTAACAAATAAAAAAAAAACAGAGAGAGAGAGATCCCTGACATTTTATACAAAGTGGACAAATATGGAAGATTTAATGCTAAGTGAAGCAAGCCAGACTCTGAAAGACAGACTTTATATGTCCCCACTCAATATATACTGATTATATATGCTCTACAGCAGAAACTGAAAGTTTGTAAGGTATAGTAGCAGAGAGGGCATGTTAGATACTAGAGGTAGTTAGGATGGGGTAATACGGGGGGGAGGGGATAACAGAGGGAGGGAGGGAGACAGGGAAAGAAAAAAAGTACATTTAACTGACAAAAAAATGAAAAGCTATTTGCTGATGATAATGTATGTAGTAATGTCTCTGTCTGGACTGATATGCATGGCATTCATGCTGTAGAAAGCAATGTTGTACATTTTAAAGATGTACTTGATTAAATATAAATTAAAATTTACAAAACGAAATACGAAAAAAATATAATGATTAGAGAGCCAGTCAGTGGTGTGGCGGTAGCAAGGACCTGTTATGTGGTTCAAGTCTCAGACCTGACAGCTTGAAAAATACCAGGCGTCTGTGCATGTGTGCCCAAAATCCTGAAAGGAGAATGGTGGAGAAGGGATTGTGGCATCACCAAACCCATGGGGGTGGGGTGGCTTCTAACCTTCCCTCTTATTGTCTCTCTCCTATGGCAAGCGCATATGCCTCTACCAATTTTTTCAAACACACACACACGGATGAAAGGAGGAGGCAGTGTGGGCATAGACATGAGATGAGTGTTTGGCCTTTGCTCATCTTTGACATTCTCAACTTCGCAGCCTTCACACAGGATCACAGGCTACTCTCTGGTATACCTGGTAGCTAGGGTAGCAAGTTGATCAAGGAAGAAGGTGCGAGGAAGGGAGAAACGCTGGCTTTGAAGTCCCATCAAATTCAATATTTCCCTATTTCCCTTAGGAAATTCATATACAAGTTGACCTGAAGTTCACCACGGTTTCATGGATGTCCAGGTTCAGGAGCACCAAGTCCTGACCCCAGCTCTGCTGCTTCTCTAGCTATGAGCAAGCCAGGTATCTGAATTTTAGTTTACCCTTCTATGAAATGGAGACGTTAATGCTTACTCAAGATGTTACTACAGAACGAAATGATTTCGTGGAAGTAGGTGGCACAATGGGCATATAGCAGGTGCTCAACAAATGCTGTCTGGATACTACTTCAGAGGCTTTTAGGGGAGAAGAGAATGAGCTTTGGAGTTCCTCTGAGATCTGGATTTTAATCCAGCTTGGGTCTTAATCCAGATGCATTTGGAGTCAAATGAGACCATCAGGATAGGGCACAACTGGGCTGAGGGTTCTCCTTTCATCAGGAGCACCATGTGCCTCTAATGCTCTCCAAGGACTACTTTGTAATTTCCTAACTCAAACTAGATGCTAGGCATATGCTAGGGGAAAAAAACACAGGATACTACCCACCACTCCTAAAGGAAACCAGCTAGCAGCTCAGTTATGATGTTTTGATAGTGTGAGGCAGAAGTCATGACACCCTACATGTAATTGTTTCTTCTTTTGTCGTAAGTTTCCGTTTTCGGCCACGCATGCCCATGGCTTTACTGTTCGTCTATAACAGGACCACTCAGATAAGAGTACAAACTCCTATTTAATGTCTGTATTTATTAGACGGGTTTTTCATAGCATCCAGCAAAGCAATGAAAATAAAGATGATTTGAGAAAAGTAACTATGATAACAGTCATAACTATTGTAAAAGTTACATGGTGGAACACCTAGTATTAACCTTAATGAAAACCACACTTGTGAAGCAAAAATCTGTTTTTAAGACACTCTTCCATTTTCTCCAAAGTAAAAAGAGTACTGCCAATATTTTGGACTTATCCTGAAAATAAAACACCCAAAAAAGGCTGAATCCATCCTTTAAGATATTTAGACTAAGTTCATTACTCTCCTCAAGTGACATCTTAGAAAAGCTGTTCTACACTTTTCAGGCCCTAGAGAAAGTGAAATCATTTATGGAATCAACCATTCTGTTCAAAGATAAACATTTCATGAAAATTCTTATTAAAACTGTAAGATAGCCTACCTCCTTAAAGTTATCAAATGCTGATAAAATGATTTCATGCCCGCCTCTCACAAGACACACGGCTGCCAACAATTCTAAGACAAGGGCTTTTGTTCTGTCAAAACAAGAAGGATTAAGAAAAAAACAAATCAGTGAAAGTGACAGGATGAGTCAACTGTTTCTCTCTTCTGGGATGGAATGGGAACAAAATATTTGCCCATGTATGTTCTTAAACCTTCCTAACTGCAGTACAGTCAAGTGAAGATACATTTTTAAGCATTACTTATTTCTCTAATAAATATGAAATTTATTTAAGAAAACTTGAAAGGCCTGTTTCCCACTTCCCAAATGACAAATTCCTCACTAATTAAAACTAATGGTTCGAGTCCCAGACCTGGTGGCTTAAACTCACGCCGGGCACATGTGCATGTGTGCCCAAGATGTCAAGAGGAGAATGTAGGAGAAGAAATTGCGGTGTGGCCATCCCCCTTGGGGGCTGATTTCTCACTTTCTTTCTCCCTGTCTCTCTCTGTCTTTCTGGAGAGCGCATACACCCTGTAGCAAAAACCTCTCAAAAACCAAAACAAAACAAAACAAAACAGAAAAACTAATTTAGGAAGAATAATCTTCTGGCCCTATCATCAGGTGGCATACTACAAAATAACTGAAATTTCCTCATTAGTGAGCTAAAAACAATAAGATACTTAGAAATATGCAGAAAAACGAACCATTGACTAAATATTTTCTCTGGTTTTGTACTCAGAGCTGTAACATTGACTAAAAAGGCTCAAAATCAACTGAAATTAATGTTCCACACTTCAAATCTGCTTATTTGAGAAGGGTTTCATAAAAATTCCCTTATGACAATGTTAGTTTCTGTTATTTCTTCTTCCTGTGCAGGAAATTTGGAAAAGCTGGATTATGGCTTGGAGGTACACTCTAGGTTTTCAAATAATTGTCAAGAAAGAAATAGCATTTTTTTTCTTCATCAGAAGACCATCTTAGTATTTCATCTTTATTCTGGAATTAAAAACTATTGCCAACCTCTAAACAAAGACTATTCGGATACTCCACAATGTCAACTGTCTTAAGAAAAATGCATAATGACTTCTCTGTAGTGAAAAGTAGAGATATAGAAGCATGACTCCTTAGGATTCCAGTAAACAGAGTTGAAAAAGTTGAATCAGGGAAAGTATCAAAGAATAATATTCAATATTTAAATAGAATTTTATAGTTTGCATTACCTTCTGAATCAGACAGGCTTAATTTATAATCAGATTTTTGAAATGAATGAACATTTTTCAGATATTCAGTTTACAGAGAGGTGTCTGATGAAAAGGAATGGCATATTTAAAATGCAGAATACTATATTCTAATGTATGGAAAACACATTAGAATAACTAAAATACATGGGTAAGGACAGTCTTCTAGAGGCAATCTATGCTGTGAATATGATATGGTGCTGGCCCTCATAGAAAGTGAACATAAAAGCCTGTGCATGCACTATTACTTATTTTTGATTTTTGTTTGCTTGTTTGGTAATTAAAGCTGAAGTATGGATGAGAGATGGTGGTTTAATTAGCTTTCAGCAATAACTGGTGTAGCTAAATCTTTATCAAGACTCCTGGCTCCTGGGTTCCAGTAATCTCATCTTCTGCACTAAACTTCACAGCAGCGATGCTGAGACAGCCAAGGAATGAAGACTTGAGAACAGAGAACAGCTCTGAGTTGTCATCAGTCGCTCAACTCTGCCCCATATAAGAATGTAACTTGACTAACAAGAAACTCTTCTGCATAGCCGAAGAGTTTACAGCCCATTTTACTTCACTGCTACACCTGACAGGTTCCATAGCCTAACTTGTTAACTAGCTCTTTGCTTTCCCCAGTTAGATTTAGACCTGTACATTACAAAGGAAGCTTACCTGGGATTCTTGTTGTTCAAGCTTAGTGCAATCTCATTGACAGCATGTGGATGGGACATGACCATGTTGAAACCATACTGAAATAAATATGAAAAAAAAAAAAAAAGCATTAGGAGACAAGTAATATGACTGTCAATATTGATTATAGGCCTTTTTTTTTTTTTCTTCTTCTTCTTCTTCTTCTTCTTCTGCTTAATGTAATCTTTTACCTGACCATTCTTTTGGGTTCATTGAAAAAGTCATGCCACATCTTTGCATAGAAAACCATGGCTTGGCTTTTCCAATGACCCAATACCTAATGTAACTTATTCTGTCTTGAATAGACACAAACATTTACTAGTGATCTAGGCAAGTTTATCATTGTAGGGGGAGAACTTCCTTCCTTTAAATAGATTATAAATTATAGATGTTAATTAAAATGAAGGCAATGAATTAAATAGGAATAATATTAAGAAACGAAAGAAAAGAAGATCTAAGTCTGATTAACTAAAAATCTTTTAGAGGATGAAAATATCAAACATACCTGATAATTCATGATGGCACGTAAACACATGATACAAACATGTACGTCATCTTTTTTGCTCACTAATCTGGAATTTTTCAGGGTTCTTCTGCTTGGTAAAGTATTATATCTAGAAATAAAAGCAGAAACAACTTCTATAAAAATTATAGGTTACGAGGGCCAGCAGATGGCATGGTAGTTGGGGTGATGGACTTTCATAAGACTGACTGTGGTTCAAGTCTTAGACCTGGCAGCTTGCTTTCTCAAATTTCTTCTCTCTCTCTCTCTGTCTGGTGAACTAAAAATAATAATAAATAACATTATATGAATAATTCTTTAAAAGACTGACAGATTACTTTCTTAGCATATACACATTCACTCAAACATGAACATTATTCTTTACCTGCACCTAAATAAGGATTGCTGGTCAAAACGAGCAAAGATTGGTGCAACTTCACTCTCAAACCCATCCCTGCAAAGCGATTTCTGCAGATTACAAGGCTGGCATGATTCTGTGCACTGTTCATCATCTTGTGAGGCCAGATACCCATTGACTGGAAGACTCACCCCTTCTCACAGCACACAAGTGAGACTGTACTGAGGGTAAGTAACCATCCTGGATTCCTCAACAGGAGGCTGAGCTAGATTGGCAGGCATGATCTGAGGTAATGTGAATGCACAGACTACATCTGCAACAAACAAGTCAGGCTGTGAAACTCACACCTCCAGCCATCTGACCTGGCTTTAATCGCACCTTCCTACTTCTGCACTCAAGAGTCCCTGCTCTGGAGTTTAAGCCCAGGCAAGGGCATACACTAGCAATTTTGATTTCAGCCTCTGACATTAGACCTTGAAGCCGTAATAGTATGCAAATGACTCCATAGCCAGATTCTGTGCCTAAAACCTGGGAAAGCAGCTGAAACTTAGAGGAAAATATGTTGCTATTTAGAAGGGGTAGGGTGTTTCAATGTTAGGACTCCTCATAGGCCCTATGGTGCTAAGCCTTCCTCCTCCCTTCTGGAGCTTACCACAGCTGCATGTAGCAAATAACTGACAAGGTAACAGTACATGTAGAAAAGATGACAACAACACTGAGAGACTCAACATGAGGTATACTTTACTGTCTCAGAGCAGAAACACAGGTAAGTCTTCTCTGCAACTCCAAGCCTGATATAAAAGCAATTTCAAAAGTTGTCAGCTACATTCTTTGTTTTGTTTTGTTTTTTTTTTTTGAGAGATTTTCACTGTAGGGCGCGTGCGCTCGCCAGACAGACAGAGAGAGACATAGAGACAGAAAGCGAGAAATCACCCCCCAGGGGGGATGGTCACGCCGCAATCCCTTCTCCTCCATTCTCCTCTCGGGATCCCGGCGTGAGTTTTAAGCCACCGGGTCCGGGACACGAATCGCGGTCGACTACGTGGGAGTCCAGTGACATAGCCATTACGCTAACTGCTGGTTCCCTCAGCTACATTCTTGTAAAGAGACTCAATGACAGAAATGCTCCACAAAATAGGCGACAGCATTTCTCTTTGTGACTTGAACTAATTAAATGTGAGAGAAGGTACAATATTTAAACAACTCCTGAAAGTCCCAAAGGTGCAAACAAAAGTTGAAAAGTAATTGACAAGTTTAGGACCAGCAGTTAGCATAATGGCTATGTTGTTGGACTCCCAGTAGTCGACCACGGTTCAAGTCCCAGACCTGGCGGCTTTAGCTCACGCAGGTGCATATGCGTGCATGCCCAAGATCCTGAGAGGAGAATGGAAGAGAAGGGATTGTGGCATGGCCATCCCCCCTGGGAGGTGACTTCTTGCTTTCTGTCTCTCTGTCTTTCTGGAGAGTGCACGCACCCTATTGCAAAAACCTCTTCAAAAAAAGAAAAAAAAAAGTAATTGACAAGTTTTCCTAACATTATTTAGCTGAGCCACCCTTTTAAATTTCATTTTCTATTCAAAAACTATCAAATAGAAGAAAGAAGATTCTTTCCCATAAGCCTGTAAATGAGCCAAATAAAATTTTGAAAAGCACTTCAGTCACTTGCCTCAATACACCCGAATGGGTAAAACCCAGTTTGCTAACACTACTCATAAGAAGTTAGCATTCTTCTAGGACTCCCCACTTTAGTCACACTTGGAAATGGAATTTCAGCAATGGAAGTTGGCCGTATTCAGTTTTTAATGCAAAAACAAAGAGGTTGTGGTTAAGGAAACAAATTTAGATGTTGACATTCATAAATCCAATTTCACCGTGTAAAATGCAACTTTAAAAAGGTGTCACTCTGGGACCAGAATTTGGCACAGCAGGAACCCAATACTATAGGAGGCTGGACCTACACGGGAAAGTCACAGGTTCAGGTTCTCAGACCTCCTTGTGTGTGCCAGCCATATGCAGGCTAGCTGAAGCTTGAGGTAGACTGCATGATGAACCTTGCTGGGGATGCTTGTCTGTCTGTCTGTCTATCTGTCTTCCTCTCCCTCACTTTCCTCCCCTCTCATGGAAGAAATAAATAAACTTTAAGAAAAAGCCATTTTGCCATAACCCCAGCCTGAGCACAACTGTTACACATACTGGCTGTCTCCAGCAACTTCACAGTCAAGTCTGGCCCAACCACATGTGATCTTCTTGGTCTACATCAGTTCTTCCCCTTTCTCTACCTTTCTGTATTTTTCTGAATTTCTTTACTGGGATCACTTGTTAAGAACATAACAGTTTGCCAGGACAGACAGTTTCAGTTCTTAGTTGAAAGCATTGTTTACGAGCATAAAACAAAGTCCTCTAATATTAAGTTAAGAGAAGACAAAAGCCCAGCTGTGGTGGCCTGACTGTAGTACAACTCTCTGTACTCCCGAGGCCCTATGAAAGATCAGGGCTTCAGTTCCCAGGTCAACCTATAAATGATGGACACATATGCTCCCATGGTCTTAGTTGACTGGGAAAGCCGAGGGAGGATCACGGCCATGAGACTGTTGAGGGTGTTGTTGCTCATTTTCCCTTCCTTGCTCGGCAACTTCCCAGCCTCTTTAAATGAGATAAACATTTTAAAAACGAAAGAGAAAAAAAGAAATTCTTTCAATGAACTGATTGCCTTTTCCTAAAAAACACTTACATGAAGCAGTAACTCCAGAAGATACACTGACTAAAGCAAGCATTCTCTAAGGATGATGGGACAGGTTATTCTATATAATCCCGTATTCTGTATCGCTTCTAAATACATTTTAATTATTCCAGCAAACATACCAACCTTACGTATTTAATCATGAGGTACAAAGTAACACAGCATGTTCCCTCCTTTTATTTGTTGATCTAGTTCTTAATCTATATTGTGATAATTCTTTCTAGGAGACCAAAATGTCTTTGTCATTCTTTTTTAGAAAGCAGAATCCAACAACAATTTATTAGAATATTTTATTTACCAAATAATAACACAGAATCTTCTATTTGTTGTAGTAGGTGGGTTAATCTCACATATGTTTAAATATAAATATTTAAAAAGCATTTAATATGATATAACACACAAATAATTATTATCATGTAAAGAGCTTAGAAGATATTTTGGGTTGTCAGAAAAGTCATGACATGTTTTCAAAAAATGCCTTATGACTTTTCTGAAACCCAATAATATAACAAAAAAATAAAGTGAGTATTTTACTTATTAATATCTATTCTCAAAAACAATAGAGCTAAACTTTTTTTCTAAAATGCTTAGTATTTGGCTTAAAAATTACTTTATCCAATTTTTAAAAAATGCTTCTTTCATGGGACCATGGATGGTATAATGGTCATTGGACTCCTACATGGTCAACTGCAGTTCAAGTCCTAGACCTGGTGGCTTGAAACTCATGCCAGATGCTTGTGCATGCATGCCCAAAATCCTGAGGGGAGAATGGAGGCGAAGGGGTTGCAGAGTGGCCATCCTCCTGGGAGATCATTTCTCACTTTCTGTCTCTCTGTCTCTCTCTGTCTCTCCAGAGCACATGCACCCTATACCAAAAATCTTTTGCAAAAAAACAAAAACCAAAACAAACAAACAAAAAACATGTTTCTTTCATGAGCAAGAGAGACAGAGAAAGAAAGAAGGACACTCCCAACAAGATCTTCACATTGTGATTCACCCCAGCTTTGGTCCTCCTGGATCATGGGCATGCATGTGTCTGCCGTATTGAAGGAGGTCTCCAAACGTGGACCTAGAACCTTCCCAAGTGGATCAGCTGCACAGAGCATCGTGTTACTGCTGTGCCATCATCCAGCCCCTCCAATTTTGGATTTATAACAAAACAGAGTACAAATATATGGTAGTATTTGAACGTGTGTGTGTTTAAAATCATAGCATTACAAATAAAAAAAACACAACCATAGCCAATAACGGTCACAAAAACCACAGCCTTGGCAGCTGAAAGAGATCTACTCTATCAGTTATTCTATCCCCTCCTGATATGAAAACTGAAGCCCAGAAAATATATTCATATAGCAAGTAAGAAGTAAGAGATGAGACCAGACTCCAGGTTTCCTATCTAGGATTCTGGGCAGTCACTTCTACAAGTTGCTTCTCATCAACTTGATTCACTGACAATCTGTTAGGTTATGATGTGAAAAAGTTGCAGCCTACAGCCATCAGTGCTGGCCAGTTCCACATCAACTGATTGTATCCTGTCATCCTGAGAGAGATTTCTGCTCCGGTCCTATATAGGTGTCATTTCCAACTCTGAATAATTATTGTACCCTTCAGGATTAAAACTTAGATCGCCAAAACCAGTAGCATCTGGGTATCTCCTGGAGAACACAGTGGTCAATCCACTTGGAAAGCGAGGTCTTCTTTTTAAATCTTGATCCTTTGTATCACTTAACAGGAAAGTGGAAATTTTTGTTTGTTCATTGTACACACAAATTTCTTTTTTAATTTTTATTATTATTTCTAACGTGGATTGTGGTCATGATTCAATTGCTTCTCCATTTCTTCAATCTGTCAGAATTTTCAGCATGCACACAGATGTGCCCAGTGTGTTTTTTAAGCCACCAGGGCTGGGATTTGAATCATATGATTGTCCATGTGGGATCTGCCTCCCTTAACCACTGGGTAATAGGGCCAGCACAGTGAGGATGTTTTTTAACCTAATAAAAAAAAAATTGTA